GACGCGGACATCGCAGGCCGGGGCAAAAAAAGCCTGTGGCTTTAGTCTAGAAGTTTTGGTTTATTTAGGATACTTGTTCAAGTTCATTACTGGATGTTCATCTCGAAATATGCTGGGGGTTGCATAGGTGTTCTTGAGCGGGTTGAGTGAGCAGAGCCTCAGGAGGACTTAGATCGTGATCTGGAGGGTGGCAGGTTGGGACGGAAAGGCAGTGAGGGCAAGTCAGCTCCTGGTGCAATTCAGGGCCTTCGCCCTCTACTTGTTTGCATGTTGTCCTTTTGCACTCTCTCTCTCTCTCTCTCTTTCTTTCTTTCTTTCTTTCTTTCTTTCTTTCTTTCTTTCTTTCTTTCTTTCTTTCTTTCTTTCTTTCTCTCTCGCTCTCTCTCTTTCTCTCTCTCTTCTTTTTTCTCTCTCTCTCTCTCTTTCTCTCTCTCTCTCTCTCTCTCTCTAACTCTATTGAGTTCAGGTATCCGCAGAGTGCGCTTGAGGGCGCGCCGTGGCGTTTCCGGGAATGCAGCTAGGGTCACAGGGAAGCAGCGCGGCTGGCGAGGCCGGCGATGAACGGTGGGACGGGCGCGTGGTGGAGGTCCCTCTGCGGAGATCGTGCGTGTCGAAGCGCTCTCGCTGTGGCGCCGTGCGATTTTATTACTCGCGAAATGGCCTTTGGAAGTTGTCTCGTGGTTTGCGCGCCTGCTTTCGCAATCGCGCGGTCGCGGGTTCGATTCCCCCCTGGTCCGCGGCATCCGGCTCAGTATGTGGAGTGTTCTCCTGGCGGCTCCGACCGGAAAATCGCAACCCTGAAGCGCAGACGTATAGCGCGCGGAGCACCTCCACAGCTCAGCTCAGGCTGAGCATCTTGCGCACAGATACAAGCGCCGAGCGTCTTGCGGAGAGAAACTTGCGCAACGTGCGCAGAACAGCTTGAAGACAGATGTCAAGCCACTTGCGTGCAGCAGCAACTTGCGCGCAGCAGCCTGGAACAATGCAGCTTGCGCAGACACTGCCATGTTTCCTCTCGTAGGACGATGAGATCATCGCCGCGCGCAGACACGCTCGCCGCATCGATGAAAAACATCGCCGGCGCAGACACGCTCGCCGCATCGATGTAAAGGTGTCTCCGCGGCTGGAAGAGCGCTTGGGAAAAAAGGCTTTCGGGCCAATCGTCCTCTCAAGGCCAGCAGCCGCATGTCATCGAGTTGCACCTCCTCAACATGTGTTCCAGAAACGCCGGCCCCCCTGCCATGGTATACATCTGCTTGTCTTCACCGCAGCCGCTGCAAAACCTTCACCGCCAGCGCTTTCCGCAGCAAGCCAAGCGCGTGGGAAACTGCCGAGACTAAAAAAAAATCGCACGGCGCCACAGCGAGAGCGCGTCGACACGCACGATCCCCGCAGAGGGTTCATCCGCGCACCGCAAAAACGCCAAAAAAAAGAGTTCTTGCACCTCAACCGCGCCGATCCCCGCAGAGGGTTGCGCGGGCACCGCAAGAATCGCAACAACCCCGAGTTTTTGCACCTCGACCACGCCGATCCCCGCAGAGGGTCGCGCGGGCAGACAGAAATCGCAAAAAAACCTCGAGTTTTTGCACCTCGACCACGCCGACCCCCGCAGAGGGTCGCGCGCGCAGATCAGAAATCGCAGAAAACCTTGAGTTTTTGCACCTCGACCACGCCGATCCCCGCAGAGAGTTCATCCACGCATGCGCCAGAATCGCAAAAAACCTCGAGCTCTATGCACTTGGCTCTATGCACTTGGCTCTATGCACTTGGCTCTATGCACTTGGCTCTATGCACGGCTCTATGCACTTGGCTCCATGCACTTGGCTCTATGCACTCGGCTCTGTGCACTTTGCTCTACGCACTTGGCTCTATGCACTTGGCTCTATGCACTTGGCTCCATTCACGGCTCTATGCGCTTGGCTCCAGGCACTTGGCTCTATGTATTTGACTCTGCGCAAGTGACTCTATGCAAGTTGGTCCGAGAGCTCCGCGCGGAAGAACCCTTCGCGATGCTTTCGGGAAAAACGGAGAGGTTTCTCAAGGAGGTTGCAGGGCCCCCGTCTGTCAAAAATGGCTTGCGAGCTATTTGGCGGTGGCAGGGTTGCGCTTTGAAGCGCGTTATGGAGATTGCAGCGGACTGCCGTGAAAGTGATGTCACGTGGCGGCGGAAGGGTGCGTTTTGAAGTTCATTATGTACGCGTTCGTGAAGTTTGCAAGGTCGACGCGTTCAGGAACTTTTTCAAGCCTCGATGAAGATCATGTTCAGAAGGCTGCAGACCATAGATCCCTCTCACGCGGACAAGGCGAGGGAACTCGAGCGCAAGGCGGTGCGAGGCAGACTCAGCCTTGAGAACAGCCTTCAATGATGGTATGCCCCGATATCTTGGTCAAGGCGCAGGTTGAGAAAGACGATTTGCGGACCAGCCGAGCTGCCCGGCAACCCGAAGCGGGTGTGGGGTGGGAGATGCCCGATCCGCAACGCGCGCGCCGAGTTCATACAACGCTTGCACAAGTTGGGGCTGGTGGATTCTTCTCTGCGAAGAGGAGTCGATGTTGTGGAGTTGTTTAGCGTCAATAAGGAGAACAACAAGCCGAGGCTGACCGTCGATAGCCGGAGGTCGAACTGCTGGTTCAGAGGCCACGGCCTGAGTCGCCACATGGCGGCGCTGGATCACCTTGAAGTAGTTTGTAGTGTTTGGCATAGCGATCATGTTTTCTATCGCGCGCCAGGCCAACCTAAAAGCGAGGCTTGCCACCCACACATCACACAGCGTGCGCGCGTCCGAATCGTGTTTGGTTACGTGGTAAACGTCCCACAGCGAACCTGCATTTGCGCAAAAAGAAGGTAGCGCGACGAAACACTTATGTGAGAGAATCCATCGGGGCAATACTGCCCGCCATTCTCTTTGAAATTGCTGGCGCGCGAAACCAGGGTCGCCATTTCGTCACAACACGGTGCGGAGATTGAAGGCGTCGCCCTTAAGGGCGGGCACATTTCCCATTACTGCCCCACGCGTGTCCCATTCATCTCCACTTCCCTTTCATTTACAACAGGTCCAAGGAAACTTCCCAAAGGTGTGCGGAATGCCCCAACAGACCGCGCGCTGGAGGTACTTTGCGAGGATGGTCTCAAAGCAAAGATGTTTTTACCATTTGAGCATGCCGGAAGAGTTGCACCTATGCTTTTCTGTGAGGAGCGTGAGCTGATGAGGCGGGCATAACTTCAGTCAGCAGGGCGGCGGTGAGCTCTTTGAGTAGAAGGCAACTTCTTCCAGGCTCTCAAAGCCAGCTTCCGCCAGCAAACCTTGACTTCAGCAAGTTCCCTTTGCTCAGGTCCCACACAGGCGCACCACCTGAGCCGCGAGCCTGTGCAGCAAAGCCTTTTCTCCTCTCCATCTGCAAGCTGTTGCTCTGTCATGCTGCCCTGCCTCTTGCTTACGGAGGATCAAAGCAACTTGACACATGCCTGCCACGAGTCGTAAGCTATCCGTAGGCTCCATTTTCCTAAAAATAGCCAGCGTAAGTGAGGTTTGGGAATTTCCTTTCCGGGTAACAGGGTGTTTTTTCATTGCTCACCTGTTTTCGCAGCTGGGAGCTTTTGGAGACTGCTGCAAAGCTCGCCAGAAAGAATGTACAAATTTAGGAGATTTGGGCATTCTGCTTTAGGCAATTGCCATGCCGTAGGGAGAAGAGAGCTGTTCATGGAACAACATTACAAATGGAGATGTGGATTCATAGGGTTTTTGACTTTGGCTGACTGAGCAGCTGCTGTCCCGTCTCAAGCCTCGCCCTTTTCCTTCTCCGCCACCCTGGGTGGCGAAGGAGCTGGTGGCGCCGCAGCTTCATAGAACAACCTGGCAAAATGGAGATGGGAATCATATGTGTGATGTGTTCAGGGCTAGGTTGCGATTGCTGTAAGTTGCGCAGCGGCGGCATGCTGACCGAAGGCCAGCTTTGCAAGGTTGGCGTTAGCAGGGCTTTCAAGTATTGCGCCGGCGGCCGTTTGCCCAGAACAAGAAAACAGAAGCCTTACGCGGGGCGGAGCGTAGGGCAACAGAGGGGTGACGCGTCGGTTTGCTGTCCGTACTCCCCTGCAGGTTCACATGGAACGGAAGAAGGGAGTTTAATTCTCCAAGGAGATTCGTTAGATATGCAAGGTTTTTTGTCTGGGTGGTACAGGATTTAAGGATTTGTTCCTGCTGGATTGGTTATTTTCCACCCGGCAAGCAAGCAATCAACAAAGCAAGAAATCACAAAACCGAGCCCCAAAATGTACCCTCAACGAACTTAAGCCCGCATTGAACCCACCCTAAACCCACCACTAAACCCACCCTAAACTCACCCTAAGGGTTTGTGATTCATTCTGCAAACACTTTTAGAGGGAACACCCCTGCAAAATAACGTGGAACCCAAAAAGGGGGATCCCCGAAAAGGAGATCCCGTTCGTTAACGGAAATTGGCTTCTGGGTCTTGTTGGGGTCTCCAGGAGCCTGTTTCAGGCCTTTTCGCCACGACGATCCAGACTTTCGCAGCCGTGAAGAATCGGGAGGTGGCGCGGACCCCTGCACAGGCGCAGGTTTTTTTTCCGCGGCCCTTGAATACTCCAATAGGAACGTGGATTAGTTCAATCCCACCTCCCCACGGCCTCCCCACGGAATGGAAGGATGCTTACAAAGGACTCTTCCCAATGCAACTTCCTTTGTTGGAGGGGCGGGAACCCCACTTTTTCCAAGTGGATGTGTGATATGACTCACTTGCCAGGTGCCAATCTGTTGACGTTTCAAAAGGTAAACCTTTCATTTCCAGGTCCTTTGGGCAAGCGAGATAAACCAGTGAAAGTTTCAAGGGTGGCCTGGGCGATCGGATATCGGCAAGGTTATTAAGCGGGGGTCTACAGTATAACGTGGGGTTTGTTTTCAAAACGAGTGTGCTGAAATCAGATTTGGGCCTCCTCTTTTAAGGGCTATCCAACAAGGTGTCCCTATGTTTGCACCCTCCCCAAATGGAGGAACCCTTTTACCAAACCAAACCCGTGTATGACACGGGACCGGCGCCCTGTGCACGCGCCAGCTGAGGCATTTGACCTGGGCACCGACAATTGCCAGGTTTCTCCTTGGTTTTTTCAGTCCCTGTCAGTTCCTTACAAAAGATCAGCAGACGAGTTACCGCGTATTGCACCTGTGGTGACTTCATGCACACACTTGGACTTCCGTTCGTTTGAAGTACACACTCCCACGCACGCATGGTTCCAAGCCGACGTGCTTGTACGCACATGTTCTGCACAGACGGGTGAGAGCTGCTCTCACGCTCCCATGTGGCGCTCCTGTGAGCACTGGATGCCTCGCTGCACGGGCAAGACATTTGTTCATTTGTTCCTGGTTCCTGAGTTTTGAGTGGTGCAAGAAGGCCCGTTTTTGTCGATATAGTGTAACAGATCTTTGGTGACATGGATTGCTGCGCGAGCTGTGTGAAGTTTTGTTTTGTGCACTGCCTTTTCCCTGTATGCAACACCTGCAGAACACGTCGGGTTGAATTGCTTCTTGATGCAAGGCCGGAAAAGCGGACCCTGAGATGGCAGGAGAGGACTTCTGGCGTGAGCTGGGCACTAAAGACTTGAGGACCGGGTACGGAGCGAACTTGTTGAGACACGAGAACATGCGTGTCAGTATGTCCACCCACAAAATGGTATTCATACGTATACATGACATACCTGTACACCTAAACACCAAAAGGGTCCTCATGTCCATTGCCCAGAATTGTGAGGTCCCGAACATGTTCAATACATATTGTTGCTTAGATGCTTACTGATTTACAGTCCAATGTCAAATAGACATTATGATTGCAGTCTCTTCTTTACACTTTCTATTCAACTTCTGGTTAGAAATTGAGTAGAATTTGATGAAGATATTCACTAGGTTGCATATGAACGGTGTTTTGTAGCGGTGTTCGTACTCAAGTCACAACTCCACCCACGGCCGCTCTCTAAACTTGAATTTGAATAGGATTTGATTGGGACTCAATATGGAAGTACTTAATCAAACTCCTGCTGGAAATTATATCTTAATTTAGATGGAAGACCTTTTTACAATTAAATTAGAGTTTAAACATAATTTGATAAGGAATGAATCCAACCACAACTTCTGTTTTATGGTGCAATTTCAGTTAGAATGATTCAATTTAGCATGATAATTTGCACAGTATGTTCTTTCCAATGAAATTTCTTTACAAATCAGCTAACATTTACACACATACACACACGCGCACACTATGCAGACATAGCTCAACTCGAGACCACACACAAAATGTGGAAAAAGCGCACGCTTACAGCGTCCTGCTCTCTTTCTTCTGGGCTGACTTTCCAATCTGTGGCTGATGGCAGAATTCCAAAGTTTTATTGCGCAATCTGGATTCTCATGGGCTGATGTTTCTTGGTCAGCCTTAGGACTTTGCTGTTGGAGCGCGGAGGGTTGCTCAGAGTCTCCAACTTCTTCCCGCAAGAGCAGGTGGGCCAGAAATGGATTGGGATCCTTCCTGGGGTTGTTTAAAGGATACATGGCCGTGTTTGTGAAACAGGCGAATCGGGATGACCTTTAGGGCGTGCCCTGCTTTCCCGAATCTGGTCAGAGCATGGATGATGTTTTCGTTGGATTCAATATGCATTTGGCGAAAGGGAGTCCCACTTTCGGCGGGCCCTTGGAAATAATTACCCCGATCGCTTCGCCCTGGATCTTTCGATATGCATTTGGGCAAATTGCAACCTCGCAAGGGTTGCGGGGAAAACTTCTCTTTCGGCAAACTCGCCGATCCCAAAGCACAGCGACCTGGCGACCACGCGACCACGCGACCACGCGGCGACGCGACCGGGTCTGGAGATTCCACGGGCATCCCGTTTCCCTGAAAGTGGATTGCAGATTAAAAAAGCGTAATTCTGGGGAAGCAAATCAATGGGGCGTCTGTAACAAGAAGTGATGCTACATGTGTTTTCTACCAAAGGAATCCCCGAAATGACCCGTGGCTTGCAGTTCGACCGGCTTCGGCACCTCACGTTCCAGTCCGTGTGCGAGCTCCATATGTCAAGGTGTTTTCTTGACGCTGTTCCGCACCTCAAAGTGCGTAGATTCAGAGAGGCCCTTCTTCTAGGATGGCTTTGGAGGGAATTAAATGCAAGTGCCCCCCCGTCAGAGGGTTAGAAGGGACACTTCGGGCACTTTGCAGTCTGTGTGCTTGTTCGTTGACCACACCAAACTGAAGCGGATTGTTGACTTGGTGTCGTTGATTTGACGCGATCCAGCACGAGCAAATATGGTCCATGCGAATGGATTCCCAGAGTCGTAGCAGAAGTGACCATAAGCCCAAGGTCACACGGTTTTAGATTTCAAGTTGTTTGCTGCAAGGCCGATCGGTGCCTCGCAACATTGCAGAGCGTGTCATGGACGGAGTCGAGCTCTGGCCTGTACGAAGGTCATGGAGACAGCGCCAAGCACTGGACGCTCACCGGTTAAGCTGCTGCCTAAGGGTCCCTTGTTGCCTAAGGAAGAGTCCCTCGTTTCCTTGTCCCTCCAACGTCCAAGGGCTATTACCGAGGGACCCTTTGGGTAAAGAGCGCATGGTGCAGTCTGCGGGATGAATGGACTCATTCCGTATGTCTCTTCGAGCTCGCGGCGAGTTCGCAGTCCCACCAGAACTCAAGGATTCTTGCCCATATGCTTTCAGGATGGTTTTCGAGCAATTAAAGAGCCCATTTGATACCTTAGAAATAACCAAGGGAACACGGGTTGGTTTCACGGGAGTAATGAGCATGTCGGGCAGACTTGGCTTTTCTGCCAAATTTCTGCCAAGTGTCGGGTCGAATGGGAGCGACCCTGATCCTGATTCTCGAGGCTCGATACACCGATAGGGTCAAGTGGCAGGGGGTCTGAGTTTGACGAACGCCTGCGAAACCAACAAAGCATTGACACAAGCACCATTCCTATGACTGGGCCCCTCTTAAATGACGACTTAGAAGGAAGGCAATCCAGGGCAATTTGGCGAGCTATGAAACACATGCCGTTGTTCCAGAAATCCTGGAGCAAAGTGACGGAAGGGATTTGGCTTGCGACACCCGCGAGAAGGTTCCTTTGCCATAGGTTGATGAATCATTTGATTCACACAGATTCGGGAGGGGGGTGGCCCTTGCAAACATGGGCTGGAAGCTTCTGTCGTGTGCCGTTTCATCGTTTTTGTGTGGGTGTGTAGTTGATGATTTGGGTGAGTCGTGATTGATTGGTCGAAGACATAGAATGTCATAAGTTTAACAAATGCAGGGAGGCCATTGCAAGTTGCAGCCAGTTCGGCACCGCAGAGAGAAGGGGGTTAAATCATGACGGCTTTTAGGCTCTTCTGATTTGTGCGGAGCTCCAGTCGGATGCCCTGCCTATGGACTCCATTGCATCTTGCACTTAACTAGAGAATCCACAGGTGGATTTTGGCCTCCAAAGCAAGAGGAAGGTGGACTTTGCTGGTTTGCACGAAAACTTGCCCCCTTCTTCTTTCCTCTCTTTCCCTTTTTGTTTTATTCTTTTGTTCTTCTTTCTTTTTATCCCCCTTGTCCTTCCTTGTTTTTATCTTTCTCCTTTCCTTTTTTTGTTGTCTTCTTTCTCCTTCCTTCCTTTTTCTCTTTCTTCTTTTCTCCTTTTTCTCTTTCTTCTTTTCTTCTCTCTTCTTCTCTCTTCTCTCAGGTTCTACCGCTACGACGGGGAGCTGGAGGTCGCGGCGCGGCTGCGGTCGCTGTGCCCCGAGCTCTTCAGCAGCTTCCAGGCGGCCAGGTACGACGCCGGCGGCGCGGGGCCCCGGGCATTGGCACACGGCACCCGAGAAAAGAGAGAGAAGAAGAGAGAAGAAGAGAGGGAGGAAAGAAAAGAGAGAAAAGAGAAAGAAAAGGGAAAGAAAAGAGAAGGAAGGGAAGAGGAAAGAGGGGAAGGAAGAGGGGGGGAAATGAAGAAGGGAAGAGGGAAGGAAGAGGGAAGAGGAAAGAGGAGGGGGGGGAGAAGAGGAAAAGGCGAAAAAGGGAGGGGAAGTTGAGCAAATTGCAATTTGTTTCTTTGCTTCCTCTCCGGGAGAGAAAAAGGGGGGACGGGAAAACGGGTGGACGAACGGGGGGGGGAAGACGAAAACGGGGGACGCGAGGAAGCGCCTTGAATTTGACTTTGGGAACGCGTCCGGCTTCACCGGAGTTGGAACGCGTTCCACGCGTTACACCTCGAGAAAAGCCCAAGAGCCCCTGTCAGGTTGGTTTTGCCCCCGCAATATGTTGGAGAACTGCATTGTCAGCTTTTCTATTTGCTTGCTGAGTTTTACCTGGATGTTGCTGTGACATGGTGTGCCTTGAAGATAGTATCACTCAATAAAAGAAGCACTGGAAGCAATCATTGTCGCATGACCCAGTTGTGATTCATGTTGAAAATCTCCGGGGTGGTCATGTCTTCTTAATCTTCCTTGATGATACAATCTTTGCTCGTGCTGTTGTCTTTGCTTTTTACATAAATATAATTTTGTAACTACATACTCGACAAACATGTTGCTTCGTTTCAATTTTGGCTTTAGGTTCCTTGATTCTGTCAAACACGTTCCCTTACACTCATGATTCTCCCTTCTATAAATGTAAGCCAGAGACAAAGTACATAACTTATGAGACTGCTTGAATTGTGCTTCATGGTGTCCTTTCTACATTGAACCAAGTCTTATTTACAAGCTGACGCGAAACCGCCGGCCACGCCACCAGGTCCCCTACCCTTCCTTTCAGTTTTCCTCCCTTCAGTTTTCTCTTCACTTCTATTCAGTTCCCTTGATTCCCTTCATGTCTATTCAATTCCCCTCCTTTCATTTCATTTTTCTTCATTTCCATTTATTTTCCTTCATTGCACTATATTTCCCTTCATTTCCCCCATGTCTCCCTAACTTACATTTCCTTTAATCTCCTTTCACTTCCAATCGTTTCCCTTCGGTTCCGCTTATGTTTCCTTCATGCTCCTCCTTCCTGAACCCAATCATTTAGCATCGCCAGCTTGCCCTGCATCATCCACATCATTTGGTGCTTGCAAAAGCTGGGGATGCTGTCAAGTAGCAGGCCAAAAAAAGACTCGTTTTTTGACTCCGCGGGGAGATGCTCAAACGGCGTTTAATATCGACCAAGCACATCCGCAATGTCGTCACCCGCTAGGGACGTCATGTTGGGATCATGTTGGGCTCATGGTCCTTCATTGCACGCGGATGATGATAATGGTAGTGATGGCTTCATTTTTTAGACAGGCGCATGAGTACGTGCAGAATCAACCAGGTCGGTTCATCACGCCTTTGATGATGATGACGGAGTGATGATCATCGCCAAGATGCTGATCACGATGATAGACACCATGATGAGGATGATGATAGCATCCCCAGCATGGCGAGCAGGACCTTCCGTGACACCCAAAATGGGTCGTCCAGAAATTGACTGCCACCCTTTCCGTGGCCTCACGCTTGCAGACAAGGGGTCGGCGGACTATAGCTTCTGCCACATGCGATGTTTATTCTCATATTTCTGGGCCTGCGGCCTCTATGATGACGATGACGATGATGATGATAGTGATGAGGATGATGGATGACGATGAGGATGCAGATGATAATGATTATGATGACGATGATGACGATAATGATGATGATGCTGATAGATGATCATAATGATGATGGTGATGGATGGATGACAATGAAGAGGATGACGCATGACTACGCATGCCCAGCACCTCTTGCAGGAACGATGCCGAGCATGGGAGATGGGGTCGATGAGTGTTAGTTGCCATATAATTGGCTTGCGCACCATGTCTGCCGCTACGAAAATTTGGGTTGCCTAGTTTCGATTGCAAAAACCCTAACCAAAATCAGTGCATTGTTGCTCATGTGTGGGAAGATGATGATGATGATGATGATGATGATGATGATGATGATGATGATGATTATGATGATGATGATGATAGTGATGATGATGATGGATGATCATGATGATGAAGATTATGATGGATATGCTAAGCATGAGAACGGTCATAATAGCTATCATCGTAGCGCCCTCTGCGTTGGTATAGAGATGATGATGACCATCAAGATGATGAAGTGATGGTAACCACCATGATGATTAGAGTGATGATGATGACCATGAGGATGATGATCGGGATGAGAACGGTCATGATAACTATCATCGTAGCATCCTCTGCATTGCCAATACTGCCTCATAAGAAATGATGATGATCGTGTGGATGATGATGAGGATGATGACGTAAGTAAGTATCCGACACGCCGAACTTGGCTGGCGCACCATGTCTGCCAAAACGACAATTTGGGTTGCCTAGTTTCGATTGCAAAAATCCTAACCAAAATCAGTGCATTGTGCCAACGTGTCAAACAGCAAATTGTACACAAGTGCCTGGCAAACTATGGGAAGTGTACTTTACATGGGTGGGGAATGTGTATTTTCTGGGCCTGCGGCCTCTAGCCGGCTCCGCCTAGTTGAAGTTATACCATGTCATGTCATGTTTTTTGTATGAGAAACGTATCCTGTGCTATGATATGGCTGGTTAGGTTATGCATGTTGCCCACCCCAACCCCAGATGATGCCGGGGATGCCAGCTTTCTGGGCCCTAGCCGGGACCCAAACCAGAAGGATGACATGGGGTCGCGCGCGCGCGCGCGCCAGAGGCTGCAGAAACAGCAGCCCAAACAGAACAGCCCGCAAGCCAGCCCGGAAACGCAAAAGCAACAAAACACCGTAAATAGCAGCGTTTTGTGGCTGGGGCCGCGCGCGCGCGCCAGAAGGCTCGAAAACCAACGCGAAAAAAGCAAGGACCGCGCAGCACGCTACGGCCGAATTTACGTTGCTGACGCACCACCGGCCGCGCCGGCAGCCTCAGTTTACTGCAATCTGTACGAAGCACGGGGCAACTTGCGCGAGGCACGTTTGCGGAAGGAAGCAGGCCCATAAGCGTGTGGCAAAAAACATCTACTAAGATGGCAGGTAGTGCGCAGTAGTAACGCGCAGGCTGCGCAGACTTGAGCTCTCAAACCCTCTCCAAAGCCGGGTTTGGCGGGGGCCAGTGAAGCCTCACCAATAAGCAGGTTTCCGCAAAAAACTTATGTTTTTCACGCTTTCCGAGGCCTTGCGCCCACGCGAAAGTGTCAAACACACAGTGTTTTGCTCATGTCTTGAGCGAAAACCATGCCCAAAACCGAGCTTAGATGGGGATCAGTATAGCCTCACTGTTAAGCAGGTTTCCGCCAAAAACGTAGAAAAGCATAGTGTTTTCCAGTGTTTGCGCAAAACTAGGCCCAAAGTTGGGGCCCATGCTTGGGGGGGGCGCACCCCCAAGAGCCGAATTGTGTTTCTTGAGGTTGCCGGCCCACATGGGCTGATACATATGGGGGAAAGAAAGTCGGCGGCACAGGGGGGCACCCCTTTGGGGAGGTCTCTCCCCAGCGGGTGGGAGGGATCTACACACAGCCTCTTCGCTTTGTTCGGGGGGCGCGGCCGGATCTACGTTGCTGACGCACCACCGGCCGCGCCGGCAGCCTCAGTTTACTGCAATCTGTTCGAAGCACGGGGCAACTTGCGCGAGGCACGTTTGCGGAAGGAAGCAGGCCCATAAGCGTGTGGCAAAAAACATCTACTAAGATGGCAGGTAGTGCGCAGTAGTAACGCGCAGGCTGCTGCGCAGACTTGAGCTCTCAAACCCTCTCCAAAGCCGGGTTTGGCGGGGGCCAGTGAAGCCTCACCAATAAGCAGGTTTCCGCAAAAAACTTATGTTTTTCACACTTTCCGAGTGTTTTGCTCATGTCTTGAGCGAAAACCATGCCCAAAACCGAGCTTAGATGGGGATCAGTGTAGCCTCCCTGTTAAGCAGGTTTCCACATTTTGCGCCTTTCCAGCCGTCAAAAACGTAGAAAAGCAGTGTTTTCCAGTGTTTGCGCAAAACTGTGCCCAAGTTGGGGCCTCCTGCCGGCCCACTATGGGCTGACACATATGGGGGAAAGAAAGAAAGTCGGCGGCACAGCGGGGCACCCCTACAATTAAGGGGAGGGGTAACCCCTCCCCAGCGGGTGGGAGGGATCTACACACAGCCTCTTCGTTCCCTTCGCGCGGCCGGATTTAAGGGCTTACGCCTGACAGCCGGGCGCCCCGAAAAGCGTCAGTGTTCCACGTGCTCTCATGATTTTCGCAACCGCGCGGCCTGAAACCCCTACAAAACCAGCAAAAACACACGGTTTTTCTACTGGTTCGCCAAAAACGCTGCCAGAAATCGGGCTCGGCCGGGGAGAGGTGAGCCCTGCCTGCTAAGCAGGTTTCCACATTTTCCACGTTTGCGCCCGGCCTTGAATCCATACAAAACTATCGAAAACACAGTGTTTTTTCTGCGGTTCACCGAAAAGCCTACCAAAAATCGAGTTCGGCCGGGACCGTTGAAGCCTGCCTGCTAAGCAGGTTTCCATATTTTCCACGTTTGCGCCCGCCGAAAACCTTCAGAAACACTGTGTTTTTGCACGTTCTCGGCAAAATTGGCCCGACTCAGGGGACAACATCCCCAGCATGCCCCGCATCACCGGCCTTATCCGCATCAATGTCCGCCATGGATGCGGACGATGCAGGTGATATGCTCAACAAGTCGTCAAAAATCGCCTGAACAAATTCAGAAATCCTTCGCCCCTTAGCAGATGCAGCCTCCGGTCGAACGGAGTGAACGTGGAGTGAACCTAGAGTGAACCTAGAGTGGTCGGCGGCAGGGGGCGCGAGCCTTATAACCTTCGGTTAGAGGGAAC